TGAGCGCATTAGTAATGGTGCAGACTTAACCTCCTCTCTAGAAGCCGTGTCTAGGATGTTGAGAGCCAGGGCTTCTGCATTAGTTGGGTTCAAACTCTGGCACAGCTACTTAATAAAGCTGCTAATAAGAGTTCGCTTTCCCAGGTGTGTTTGTGCTCCAGGTCTTCTCAGAGCTTTACCTGCCAAGTAACCCTCGAGAGACTCATATAATACAGGTGCTATTATACCACACACTTCACTGTGCTGTGTGCTGTGCTAAGTTGCTTAGTCATGTCCAACTCTTTGCAATCCCATTGACTGCAGCCACGGGATTCCGTCCTCTGTCTACGGGATTCTCCAGGCAAGAATACTGAAGGGGGTTGCCATGGCATCCTCCAGGAGATCTTCCTGACCCAAGGAACGAATTCACATCTCTTATGTCTAATCTGTATTAGCAGGTGGGTTCTTCACCACTTGCACCACCTGGGAAGCCCATATCACCCATTTCACAGGTAGGAAAATTGAGATGCAGAAAGCTTAAGTAAGGGCTTCCCAGGTGATGCTCAGTGGTAAAGAACCCGCCTGCCAAAGCAGGAGATGAGGGTTCAATCCCTGGGTGGGGAAGATCCCCTGGAGCAACCGACTCTAGTACTCTTGCCTGGGAAGTCCCATGAACAGAGAAGCCTGGCGGGCTACAGTTCATGAGGTCGAAAAGAGTCGGACACGATTGAGTGACCAAACAACAACAAAGATTGGGTAAATGGTCCTCAGCACAGAGCCGTGGAGGTGAAGCTGGCCCCGAGTGCTTGTGCAGTTATGTTTGCCCTGCTCTCACAATAAAGCAATCCACAGCTGTTAAAGGAGTTTTGAAATATTATTAGCAATATGCTTATATATGACTACAAGGAAAATGTGACTGCATCAAATTTTCCAGTCCAGTATGTATGAGTTCAACAGAAGCTTCAGTTGCAGTGGAGGCCCTCACCCACATGAGTCATGAGTCTTGTTAAATCCTAGCATGTCAAGTTCAGACAATGCAGTCCTGTGATAGTACAATGCAATCGCAGTATGAATAACCTTTTCTTATTATTTGTTATGTGAGTCATACTGTAGATAAGCTATCAAAATCACATTTCTAGCTTGGAATGTTTCTCTCAGGAACCCCTTTCTATAGGAAAAATCTGCTTTTAAAATGATCTTGCCTTTGAATCAACTGTACTCCAATACAATTTTTTTTTAAAAAGATCTTGTCCCTCCCAGCTTCTGCCCCCAGGGGAGGGAGGCCTTCTCAGCCTGCAGGCTCTCCAGGATTGAAAGCCTGGACTTGCTTCTGATTTACTACCTGTCTGCCCTCCTCACCTCCATTCACACTCAAGCAGCCATGCATTTAATTTATGCTGTTATTCAGTCCTCAGTCATGTCTGACTGTTTTCAACCCCATGGACTGTCACCGTCTAGGCTTCCCTGTCCATGGGATTTCCCAGGCAAGAACACTGGTGTGGGTTGCCATTTCCTCCTCCAGGGGATCTTCTCCACCAAGGGATCCAACCCAGGTCTGTGCCTCCCGCATTGACAGGTGAATTCTTTAATACTGAGCCTTGTTTTGTGTTAGTTGGGCTGAAATGCAGAATGCCTGGTTGCCCATTCTAGACGTTAGCTCAGCTGCTTTTGTCAGACTGTTCTCAGGCCATTCTGGAAGCAAAGCTATGAGTAACAGCATCTCTGTGAAAATACTGCTGCTAATTTCTACTCTCAATTGGACTGACAAAGGGTCTACTCTTTCCTTCATAACATAACCTCTAATTATGTAGGATAATCACACTTAGGGGCTTCCCTGGTAACTCAGCTGGTAAAGAATCCGCCTGCAGTGCAGGAGACCTGGGTCGGGAAGATCCCCTGGAGGAGGGCATAGCAACCCACTCCAGTATTCTTGCCTGGAGAATCCCACGGACAGAGGGGCCTGGAGGGCCACAGTCCATGGGGTGCAAAGAGTCGGACACGACTGAGCGACTAACACACAGCAGTCACACTTAGATGTGTTTAACCTCTAACTGTGACGGATACAGTTTTGGAGTTACATTCTGTTTCACCACTTCCTGCCTTTTCATTCCTGGAAAAATTATTTAATTTCTCTAAGCCTCAGTATATGCATATGGAAACTGGTAGGTAAAATTTTCCTTGAAAGTTGTGAAACCTAAAAACAATATATTTAAAACCACTGAGCAGAATGTCTGGAGCCTCCAAGAAGAATGGAAGGACCTTTGTATGTCCAGGAGTATTCTTGTAAAAAGATTCACAGTGACTGTCCCATCAGACAAGGCATGCAAAGCTCCTGCTGTTTATCACATACTCAGGAAATTTTAATAGTGATAACTTCTCTCTGTGTAAAATAAAATGTAAATTCAGGTATGGAATGTGTGCTTGACATATATTGCTTGTAATCTTCCTATGATAAACTTTTTTCAGAGTCAGTAAATGTGGTAGAAATAGGAAAGTTGTCAAAAGGAAAGGAAAAGGACTAAAATTTCCTTTGAGGCAAAAAGGAAGAGTGTTACCAAATAAAGGAGTCTATAATAAAGAAAATGCTACTGTACAAAATGATGGAGGAGGAAATGATAACCCAATCCACTATTCTTGCCTTGGAAATCCCATGGAGAGAGGAGCCTGGTGGGCTACAGTCCATGGAGTCACAGAAGAGTCAGACACGACTAGTGACTGAGCACGCATACAAAAAGGGGAATCAGTTGATGACAAAACAGGACCAAAACAGCCCACAGTTTTGGTAGAACAATCAGGGCGATGTATGTGGAAGAGACAGTGCTTTTCTGTGGATTAGAGCTTGAGTTACAGTGTCAGAGACTTGTTTAGATACTGATTTGGGCAGGTTTTTGGTAACGCTCTGCAGTGAAATTTCTTCCACTCCAAGAGACATGTTATGATACCATCTTCCTGACGGGTGATTTATATCTGGCTAGGTAGTAAATCGAAGCAATTCCAGGCTTGCCAAGTCATTTCATTAAATCTTGCTTTTAACAGTTTTACAGTCAAGCACATCTGTAAAATACTTACACCTGTAAAATACTTACAGGATGGTGAATTTACCTTCTTGATGTAATTAACCCACTTGAATTACTTTAATCCCTGAGGGTCATCTAACTCCAAAATTCTGGAAAGTAATTTTCAAGGAGTGCATATGCTTCTTTCCTATAGAAATATAACTGCTTTACTCTAATTCTTGCCTCTTGCTTGATTTCTGGTTAAATTTTCTGTTTTGTAACTGACATAATGCTTTATTTTGGTGGCTCTAAAGATAGTCATGTGTTTATATCAAGGGGGTGAATTCAGGTGTCATTCAGTCAGAGCTGCCGAGAAGAAGGCTCAGTCGATAATTTAACTTTAATTTAAACTTAATAGTTTAACAAGCAACCCAGTAAGTAATTATCTCCCCTCTGACTTGAGGACTTTGGCTTATTATGCAAAAGCCTGCCTTTAGCTGAAGGACACACACCCAGAATGGAGATTAAACAGGTGAACTTGATTTCATATATTAGCCTCTTTAATATCCAATTCTTCCCAGTTAGTCCATAAATCTTAAGGATATATATATAACTGGATTTATAAATAAAAATCCTAAAGAATATAAATATTAAAATATAATAACATTATTATGTAAAACCATTTATCATAAAAATTTTCTGAGATAATTTATAAAACCTAATGTTTATCTCTGAAATAGATGATCAGAACACTTTAAATGAAAGTTTAAGTCTGCTGAAATCCAACTCTTTAATCTCTGATATTCTTTATCTATAGAAGCAACTTTGAGTAGTCTCTGAAGTGTAATTTAAATATTCTATGAATATATCTTTTGATAGATTGACATGTAAATGTTAATATAAAACTATATGTACCACACAGAATATAGTTTTAATTACTTCCAAATAATTGTACTTGAATGAACAAAAAGGGAGAAATTTCCCATTCATCCATGTACAATTATTTGACAGTAATAATTGGGAGAAAACAACTTCTTTTACAAATTAAATCATTTACTGTGCTAGTCTAAATTACGTAACAACTTCTGTTTCTATAGTAGAATGTAACTGCCTTACAATTAATAAGATGATAAAGGAAGTTTCAACTGCAAATAAGATCCTGAAATCTCAAGATAAAATTAAGATTCATGAACCAACAGTGATGGAAAGTAGCTACTTTTTAGGTCCCATTCAATATTTAATTTGAAAAACAATATAAGTAAATAAAAATTTCTAGGGATTAATACCTTGTAAATGGGTAAATAACATCATTTTTGTGCCAAAGTTTAACCAAATAGGTGTTTTCTTTTCTTGCATAAAATTTTTCCACTAAAAATAAAAAGCTTCTGGAAAGAATTTTTAATGATACAGATTTTTAGAAAATCCTTAACAAATATATATATGATTTCCAAGGCTGTGTGAAGTGGATATCTTTTCAAATGATGTACATTTAAATAACTCAGTGTCTCTATGGGCTCTTCCAAAGTTCATGGACTGTTAGAGCAATTGGATCAAAGTGACTCAGACAAGGAAAAAAATAAAATGACTAAACTAAGTCTTATATTTGTTTAAATTCAAAATAATTGTTAAAAAATAAACTGTATTTTCTGAACATACCATAGATTTTAAATAAAAGTTAGCAATCAGGTTTACTTTTGGTTTCTTATAGAGAGAAGTAAGTATGGAGACAAAAATAGCTTATTACTACTTCAGCTAAAATTCTGAGTCAGGTAACTTTAGAAAGTAGGGGTCACTGAATCGCCTCTAGAGAATAATACATTATTTCAAAATTAGCACGAATTTGATATTTAATAACACAAACTTTAATAGTTATATTGAACACCTACTCATTAAAACTTTAATGAAGATAAATTAAAACACCAATATTTCTTGTTGAAAATGCCAAGAACCACAAATGAAATTTTGTAAACAAGGTTCACATCTCAAAAAACTGTAAAGTTTTGTGAAAATAGCCATTATACTCACATAGTCTCCACAAAACATTTTGATGATAGTGTTTAACTTCAGGGCAGATCAAAAGATGTTTAGTGTGTAGTCAGTTGAATAGACTTGTTTCACCGTGTCCCTAGAAAGAACTGAAGTTCGCTGTTCAATCCAATTTAAGTATGTCCACTGTCCACTTTGGTTTCTCAAGCAAGAAAACACAGGGTCAGTTATGGACAAGCATTTATTAATATACTGAGCCACCAGTCACAGGCAGAATTAATGCACAAAATAAACAGAACCGGTAGCCTAACCCCTGGCTCTGTGTTGATTTAAGAAACATTAATTATTGAACCAATCAAAGCAGTGTAATCTTTTGAGAAAGCTGGTGACTTATGGAAAGTGGGTTGATTAACCACATAGTTAATGATTTATTTTCTGCTTTGTCGTTTTTAACACTCAGACTTTTTCAGTTTCTCCAGCCTCTAGCTTCATGCTTCACATGGCTAGGTTTTATATGCATCTATACCATTCACTTGGAGAAGGAAATGGCAACCTGCTCCAGTATTCTTCCCTGGAAAATCCTGTGGATGGAGGAGCCTGGCAGGCTATGGTCAATGGAGTCACAAAGAGTTCCACATGACTGAGCGACTAACACACATACCATTCACTAAATATATTAAACTGTTGTGTATCTTATGTTACAAAATAGTTTATTTAGGAAAGAAATGATTACCCAACAGGAGAAGTTTTGGAGAAATCATATATGTGCACTTTTGTACATCATTTGTATGTGTATCATATGTGCATCATTTGTACACTTGGGCTTCCCTCATAGCTCGGTTGGTAAAGAACCCGCTTGCAATGCAGGAGACCCTGGTTTGATTCCTGGGTTGGGAAGATCCGCTGGAGAAGGGATAGGCTACCCAATCTGGTATTCTTGGGCTTTTCTGGTGGCTCAGCTAGTGAAGAATCTGCCTGCATTGTGGGAGACCTGGGTTCGATCCCTGGAGAAGAGAAAGGCTACCCACTACAGTATTCTGGCCTGGAGAATTCCATGTATAATCCATGGGGTCACAAAGAGTCACACACCACTGAGTGACTTTCACTTTCATTTGTACACTTTCCTATGTATATACATTATTTTAGGATTTAGCCTTATTACATTTTGAGGAAACATTTTAAAGACAGCTTCAAAGTCCAATATATTGTTAGGAAATATCTGTAAGCATATGTTTCATACATTATTTCCCGAAAATCACAAAATAAATGTGTATTATAGCATTTTACTGCTACTTGCCACTTAGTGAACAATCCAGTGTTCATTTGTTGTTGTTGTGGGTCAGTCACCAAGTCCTGTCTGGCTCTTTGAGACCCCATGAACTGCAGGCTTCCCTGTCCCCTGCCATCTCCTGGAGTTTACCCGTGTTCATGTACATTGCATTGGTGATACCATCCAACCATCTCATCCTCTGTCGCCCCCCCCCCCCTTCTCCTTCTGCCTTCAATCTTTCCTAGCATCAGGATCTTTTCTAATGAGTCAGCTCTTCCCATCAGGTGGCACACGTGTTGGAGCTTCAGCATCAGTCCTTCCAATGAATATTCAGGATTGATTTCCTTTAGGATTGACTGGTTTGATATCCTTGCTGTCAAAGGGACTCTAAAGAGTCTTCTCCAGCACCACAGTTCAAAAGCATCAATTTTTCAGTGCTCAACTTTCTTTATGGTCCAACTCTCACATCTGAACATGACTACTGGAAAGACCATAGCTTTGACTAGTCGGACCTTTGTCGGCAAAGTGACGTCTTTGCTCTTTAAGACACCGCCTAGGTTTGTTAACAGCTTTCCTGCCAAGAAGCAATTGTCTTCTAATTTCTTGTCTGCAGTCACCAGCGGCAGTGATTTTAAAGCCTAAGAAGAGGAAATCTGCTATTGTTTCCACCTTTCCCCCTTCTATTTGCCATTAAGTGATGGGACCAGATGCCATGATCTTAGTTTTTTTTAATAATGAGTTTTAAGCCGGCTTTTCCACTCGCCTCCACCCTCATCAATAAGCTCTTTAGTTCCTCTTCACTTTCTGCCATTAGAGTAGTATCATACACATGAGGTTGTTGATATTTCTCCCAGCAATCTTGTTTCCAGCTTGTAACTCATCCAGCCTGGCATTTCACATGATGTACTTAACATCTAAGTTAAGTAAACAGGGTGGCAATAAACATCCTTGGAATACTCCTTTCTCAACCTGAACTGGTCAGTTGTTTCATACAAGGTTCTAACTGTTGTTTCTTGACCTGCACACAGGTTTCTCAGGAGACAGATAAGATGGTCTGGTATTCCCATCTCTTTAAGAACTTTCCACAGTTTGTTGTGATCCATGCAGTCAAAGGCTTTAGTGTAGTCAGTGAAGCAGAGGTAAATGTTTTTCTGGAATTCCTTTGCTGTCCCTTGATACCACAGTTTTCTTCTGCTGATTTGCATCATTGTAGCCATGGGGTTGAGAAGATCAGGAATAAAAAAGCCACAAATTCAGGTCTGAAAGCCTCAAATTCACACTTTTTTTTTCATGGCGGAAATTGCTTTATAATGTTTTGTTGGTTTTAGAACAACGCGAATCACTGATAATTATATGTACGCCCTCCCTGTCGAGCCTCCCTCCCACCCCCAGGCCCTGCCCCGCTGGGTCATCACGGAGCATGGGGCAGAGCTCCCTGCGCTCACAGCAGCTTCACACTCGCTGTCTCACTCACGGCAGTGTGTACATGTCAGTGCGACCTCCCAGTCCGCCCCACCCTCTCCTTCCTCCCTGCATCCACAAGTCTGCTCTCCACTAGCTTCATCAGGACCATTCTTCTAGATTCTCTACACATGCTTTAGTATTCCCAGGCGTCTCAGAATCTGTCTGCCAATGTAAGAGACACGGGTGTGATTCCTGGGTCAGGAAGATACCCTTGAGTAGGATATGGCAACCCACTCCAGCATTGCGGCTGGAGAAATCTCATGGACGTGGGAGCCTGGCAGGCTACATACAGACCATTGGGTCACAGATGGTCAGACACAACTGATTGACACACACATATACAATACTTCTTTTGACTTACTTCACTCTGTATAACAAACCCTGTGTTCATCCACCTCACTATAACTGACTCAGAGTCATTCCTTTTCATGACTGAGTAATATTCCATTGTATGTATGTAACACATCTTCTTTATCCATTCAGCTGTTGATGGACATCTAGGTTGCTTCTATGTCCAGCATTATTATAAATAAAGATGCAGTGAACATTGAAGTACATGTGTATTTTTGAATTGTGGTTTTCTCAGGGTATATGCCCAGGGATCATTTGTTGATTTATTCCTAATTTTTTAAGGAATCTCCATACTGTTCTTCATAGTAGCTGTATGAATTTACATTCTCACTAACAGTGCAAGAGGGTTCCCTTTTCTCCACATCCTCTCTAGCATTTATTGTTTGTAGATTTTTGGGGTTTTTTTGATGATGGCCATTCTAATTCAGGGCTTCCCTAATAGCTCCATTGGTAAGAATCTGCCTGCAATGCAGGAGACCCCAGTTCGATTCCTGGGTCAGGAAGATCTCCTGAAGAAGGGAAAGGCTACGCACTCCAGTATTCTGGCCTGGAAAATTCCACGGACTGTATAGTCCATTGGGTTGCAAAGAGTCAGACACGACCGATCGACTTTCACTTCACTTCACTTCATTCTAACGGAGGGCTTCCCTGGTGACCCAGACAATAAAGAATCTGCCTGCAGTTCAGGAGTCCCAGGTTCAATCCCTGGGTTGGGAAGATCCCTTGGAGAAGGAAATGGCAACCCATTCCAGTATTCTTGCCTGGAAAATTCCATGGACAGAGAAACCTGGTGGGTTAGGGGTCCATGGGGTCGCAGTTGGACCTGAGTGAGTGACTAAACCTTTTATTCTAACCATGTGAAGTGATACCTCATATAGTTTTAATTTTAATTGATCTAATAATGAGTGATGTTGAGTATCTTTTCATGTGTTTATTGGTCATCTGTACATCTTCCTTGGACAAATGTCTGTTTAGGTCTTCTGCCCATGTTTTGATTGTGTTGTTTGTTTTTCTGATATTGAGCTGCATGAGCTGCTTATATATTTTGGAGATAAATCCTTTGTCATTTGCTTCATTTGCAATTATTTTCTCTCATTCTGAGGGTTCCCTTTTCATCTTGTTTGTAGTTTCCCTTGCTGTGCAAAAGCTTTTAAGTTTAATTAGGCTCCATATGTTTATTTTTGTTTTTATTTCCATTACTCTGTGAGGTGGGTCATAGAGGATCTTACTGTGATTTATGTAATGCAGAATACTACCTATGTTTGACTCTTAAAAGTTTTATTGTTTCTGGTCTTGCATTTAGACCTTTCATCTGTGTTGAGTTTATTTTTGTGTATGGTGTTTGGAAGTGTTCTAATTTCATTCTTTAAAACATAGCTGTCCAGTTTTCTCAGCACCACTTATTGAAGAGTCTGTCTTTTCTTCATTGTATGTTCTTGTCTCCTTTGTCAAAGATAAGGTGCCAATATGTGCATGAGTTTATCTCTGGGCTTTCTGCCTTGTTCCATTGATGTGTATTTCTGCTTTTGTGCCAGTGCCATACTGTTTCAATGACTGTAGCTTTGTTGTATGTCTGAAGCCAGGAAGGTTGATTTCTCCAGCTCTGTTTCTCTTTCTTAAGATTGCTTTGGCTATTTGGGGTCTTTCGTGCTTCCAAACAAATTGTAAAATTATTTGTTCTAGGCCTGTGAAAAAAAATATCTTTGGTAATTTATAGGGACTGCATTGAATCTGTAGTTTGCTTTAGGTAGTATAGTCATTTTCACAATATTTATTCTTCCAGTCTGGGAAGGTGGTATGTCTTTCCATCTGTTTGCGTCATCTTTGGTTTCTTTCATCAGTCTTACTGTTTTCTGCATACAGGTCTTATGTATCTTTAGGTAGGCTTATTCCTAGGTATTTTAGTCTTTTTGTTGCAAACACATTTCTTACTCTTAAGAACAGTTTTTTTTTTTTTAAAGAGCAAAATTTC